AGTAAAAATAGTATGCTATATGCTAATAGACTGTTACCTCAAATCACGGAATCTCTAGAACCGTCATGTCTGTCATATAGGAAGCTCCTGTTTTTTAATAATTGTTATTTGCAAGTTTCTACTATCAGACTTATGAAGTTTAATCACATGTCTGGCACTACTTGCTTCCTAATCACTACCGCCATAGCGTAAAGTCCGTTATTATCTAAGGTTAGTACGTAAACTCTGTAGAATGAACTCTCCTGCATATGCGTCGCGGAGTCGACTTATTACAGAAGCAAAACAAAAACATTTGAATGCCTATTGAATCGAGCAAGAATTAAAGAAAAGGGGATGAGGACACTTTAGAAAATAAAGACGCCATACACCTTTGGTCCATAAATCTCAAGAAAAGACTCATATATCTTCATGATTATCACAGCATGTTAGCCTTTCCTTCACCTTTCCACCATGCTTGCTTTATCAGGCATCTATTGATCACAGTAGAAAAGAGATTGAAGCGCTTTCGCATTAGAAATATTATTTACAGCCTTTCCTTAGTGAGAAAAGCAAAAGTAAAATGATTGTGTTTCATTGGTCATGTTATTCAATAACTTTTACTAAGTAAACTGACGCAAAAAGTAAAGCGACACATTGGACACTGGTAAAATTTGACTATACCCAGCACCTTAACTGAAGAGTGCCATTTGTCGCACTGATACTCTTTGCAACAGATCAGATCACAACAACGTTCAAATGTGCGTTTTCGCGGCAGTGAGCTTAGTAGGAGGCGCTCTAGGGTAACTGAGAGAAGGCTAAATAAAGGTAAAACTTTGAGAAAGTACGGCAACCATTACTCTGCTGAGTTGGTTACCTGAACTTTGATCGATTGAACTAACCTATGGGACGGAAGAAATTCCATTTAGTTTTGCTCTGTCCTCTTATGGGAATATAACGTTATAAAATTACCAAAATCAAATCTGCCTGCTGTCAAATAGTATCCTCAAAAGGTCCAATAGAATGAGGTTGAGGTCAAAATATCCAATGTGAGCCTAAGGTGAAGAATGGAATCTTTTATTCAAATCTTTACAAGCGATAACATCATACATGATATGATTAGAAAAATCTTCTAAAATAAACCTTCCGAAGTCATCATAGTCACTGTAAATGAATTTTTATAAATAAATATGAAGTACACACATAAAGTCCATTCAAAGACTAATCAAC